GGTGTGGGCTCAAGAGTTGGCATGGAAGTTACATAAAGCTGCTGTTTCGGTGAGTTTTACATGCACTTTTCCTAGCGCCTGCGAATTTTGTCTGAGCGCTGGTTTCAAGCTTAGTTGACTGTAATTTCTGTGATAAGACAAAAACTAAATGTTGCTTGATCTACAGTGCTCAACTTAAAAACTGAAATCGATGTCTGTTTGTGCCCTTTCGTTAGTGTTCCCTTTGTTACAGGTCGGTCAGCAGATAGCCTCACTTAAACCGGAAATAATATTCGAAGTCACTTCACATGGCGTTTCGGATTTGCGTCGTTTTCTGTTTTATTTGAATTCATTTGCCAATGGCTCAGCAGAAACGGATTACTGTAGTTGCACTCCATGCTGCTACGACATTTCCATGCCGATGGATGCACAGCTGTCTCATCGTCTGTCGCAAGAGCTGATCATGGATGGCCTCAACGTGTCGGCTGTGATGTTTTTCCCTGGAAGCCACGGGACAGACGGAAATGCTGTCCTAAAGTAAGTTGCCGTTTAACTAATTATTTACTGTTCGAGCTCAGGGGGCGTAAGGACCTCTTTGATGTCGTTTCGTTTGATGGATCATACAATAAGCAGAAAGTGAATGAAATCAACCACTTGCAATATTGTGCGTTGCACCACCGTTTGAAGAAAACGTGAAAAGCGGCCACGTTGACCAAAATGTGTCATTCACCGCGTGTTATTGCAATGTATTCTAACGATGATGAGCGTCAGTTTTTACGAAACTGTATTTACTTCAGCCAGTCGTGAATATCCATTATCCTTTCCTTTCTACCATGGTTGTACTCGTAATCATTTTTCCGACGAGGATTAGATGAATTGGCGACCTTGACCTTTCCAGCATCCAGAGCCAGTCACCGGCACTGCCGCTTAGAATGGGCCAGTTCGCAATTACCGTTTCCTGTCCCCGCCACGGTCAGCGGTTAGTTATTGGGAGGATAATTAGGAGTCACGGTCAAGTCTTTGTCATCGAGCTTGTTTCCAGACGATGGCTCACGAAAAATTTCATTTTCAGCCTCTGAAGACAAAAGTATGTCACGAAAGCTGTGCAAAGGAGTCTATGAATACCTCGAGGCTTACGTTTGTTCGTTCGAGGTCGCAATTTCCCTTTACCGCACATTGTTAGCATAATGATTTATTCCTAACAATGAAGACGCTAAGCAATTTTTTAAACGACGCTACGTGAGCAACTATTTTATGCTTCGAAACTTCAGTTAAGTATGCATTCTAAAGGAGTTCGTGTAAAACTTATTCGTTGATGAAACACTGATGCTTTCTAAAATTTTACTTAAGCTTGGTTAATTGATGCATGAGTTCGCGAAATCAATTCAAAATCTGACAAATTACCTGAATCGAGGACATTTCAATTACCCAGTTCGCATAATTTAGTCTTATTTAAATGACTTACTGGAAAGAGTCCGGTTTTCATCCTCTTGTTAATTGGCAATTAAAACAAGTTTGATGCCTTATTTCATTTCATTTAACTTCTTAATTTCATACCACTCTCATGCCATGGGTGACTTGAATCTGATAAGCATGGCCAGCAGCAGAAGAAACAAGAAAAAAGTATTTGTTTAATGGCTATCCAAAGAGTCGACAAATCTGACATCGCTCATCATCGGGGGATAAATGGCGTCTTGCAATGTTTCAGTTTAGCATATCATCCAAGATCAAAGATTCCAGAGCATTCAGCTTCTGATCTTCAAAAATGAGACAGCACTTTTTCCTCCTACTGGTAGATCGCTGCAAACGACTGATATTCTTTCATTTTTCACAGGTGTTCCTGCTGACGAAAAACTACGAATTTCGATCGTTCTTCAACTGATAAGAGATATTGATAATTTCTTCTGATATACTTTTTGTACTTCTTAGCCAATGCGTAATTAAAACGACTGTCAGAATGACAGTCGGCATTTCGAACAGATAACCTTCCACTTCCTTCAGGAGAACTTGTATTCTTCCTCAAAATAGGGCGCATGGAGCTGTAACAAGGTTAACACTGTAGCCTGTTGTAGTTTCAGTTGGAGAATTGCCTCCCTTCCGTTGACAGGCTTCCATTCAATAATTCTGTTGGCAAGTATGGGTTCTACCCGAACACCAACACTGGCCTGAGCCCGGGTGGTAATGTTGACATCTTAGTAGAATGGCTTCCACCCGTAGAGGTTCAAAATTCCAAAGCTTGACCCTTCGTTGACGCGAGTCCAACTACGTCGAGATGGTATCTTGCGACTCATTAACTCGTTCCTGCGCATTCCTTCTAAGTGACGATATGTTCCAGTTTGCGATTGTGAGTTCCTACTGTCGGAATGGTTCCAGTGGAGTCTTTTCTGACTTGTTATTATGGCATCATACTGTCTGCCTGCCCCGTTCAGAGGGGTAGCAACTCCGTTTCTGACGGGTATTTTTATCCTTTTCTCGACCATTGTCATAGGTCGCCGTTCCCAGAAGTCGTTAAGCCGGTTCTGATCGCCGATTATTCATGATCTGCCACAGTTTCCCAATTGCCTGCATGGTTATTGGTAACCTGGACGAAGACTACGCCGGTGTAACGTTCGATAACAGCGGTGCCATGAGGATCAGGTCGCTATGTTTTGTGGAAAACATCGCCACGGTCTCCAACCCTCGTCCTTATCTGAGCTTGTAACCTTCAAAGGCGCAGTTTAGTTTTTTGATCACTACAAATGGTCCAACCCAATTCCCGTTCTTTGATTGGTTTGTGTGTCGATAATGCTCTTCACTATTGGTCATCGTCATTAAATGTGAAATTCGCTGTTATAAAAGTTTAAAACGTTTAGGAAACTATTACATCTTGCCAAGTTTACCTCGGTGTGTTTTTTTGCGAAGGTTTTCAACAGCAATTTTAGATCAGCCGAAGTAATACCACTGTTGTTCATAAAGGAAATCTATCAGCAAAAAAAACTGGTTATCTTCTCGCAGCCATCCAGATGCTGTGACGAGGCTCCAAGCATGGCGCAGGAACTTCTGACGCTAGGTTTGTCAGTTTTAAAATCATGCCATATTTCATCCCAGAGTATAGAAAATTTTTCCTTAACTCTTAACTCGAAACGTGTCTCATTTAATCACAATCGTATTTTTTTCGCAGTAGGTACGATTTGGCTGTTTGTGCAAGCTAATATGTACGATTTAATCATGCCTGCATCAGTCAGTCAATTTCTCTGGCCGTTTATCATTTCAAGTGGGGAGGCGGGGAGGGAGAAGAGTCAGGCAATGTCTCCAACGCTCCCGATCCTGTGCTAACATTTAAGCTTCGTCAGAAAAAATGCCCGAGTCTGGAACAATGTGTCGAGACACTGTCCCCAAGTCATTCTTGACCATCCTCAGGGTCTTCCGTAGGTCGGTTGGGCAAGTAGTAGCGTACCTTCCTGATGCCATGCTTCAAAGCAAAAACAATATCAAAGAATGACCGAATACAGCAGGTAAATCTCCATCCATGATTAACTATGAACAACTTTTTCATAGCATAGCAACAGAATTAAATCCACAATAAAATCAAATACCAAGATAAGCCATTTTTCGTAATAATGAGATATCATATTAATCTGTCAAAATTTAACGTTACAGTAAGTTTGCAAGCGAAGGGAAATTTGACACAGAGATCTACACATACTTTACCAGTTGTTATGGCGTAATGAAGACAGTCATACTGAACTGATCGCAGTAGGTTCCTCCTGGTTGTTCGTCGTACTGTTTGCTCGTTCTGCTATAAACATTTCGCAGTCCATCCTCCTCTACAATTTTGCTTGTGTCCCAATTAATCATGCGCTTCTATAGCATGCTTTACACTGCAATGGCAGAGCCTTCTCATCCGGTTTGCTGAAGCAAATAACAAGTAATGTTCTCCTGCCTATTTCTATAGCTGTCCACATTTGAAATGATGTGGTCAACGATCACGACGTTCTCCCGTGCGGGTATCGTGTCCTTTCTGTATGGGAGTCTCTCTTTACATTTTGGTTTGCACCAGTACGGCCGTAATTAATTACGGTACATGCAAATATGTCGGGTTTTACGGCACCGTTGCACAGCCCCCCCCCCTTTTCTAGGCGCACAGGGAGACCTTATGTAGGTCACAGCTTTATCACATTTGAGTACTGGCAGTGGATGGATACACCACAGCATCAGTGAGTAGGGTATAGGAAGTTGTGGCTCAAGCAAAATACATACTTAGAGCATCACTGATGATGCTTTTTTAATATAAGAGTATTCTTTTATGTTTATCGTTTTACATTGTTACATGAACACTGCCGCAGTACGTGACGATGCATGGGACTTCGCTGTTTCTTGAGGGCAGCGTTGCACCAAGCGTTTATTTCTAGATGGCCAGGGAAAGGATCTATGCAGGTCGCAGCTCCACGGTCTTTGAGTTTGTCTACCAGCATGGAGATTTGCGTATCATTTTTACCTCGCATATGGCTAAAGAGGAAAGAGGTTTAATTCGATAAATAGTTTCATCGTAGGACAAGGAGCATAATGAACTTCTTAATACCAGTTTACCAGTTTCCACGTCGAATAAAACTGAATCGAACTAAAATCACGACATGCATTGCATTCATTTCGGTCCATTTCCTGATGTCGTTACTGCAGCATCACTGTACCCTCCGTTGAGCCAGTGATGTTGTCAGAAAGTAATATCGAGTAGTAATATTTTTCTCGCTCGCTACTTTTCCTTACAGCAAGACTAAAATATTGTCATTTCCTGTACTCTATGTTCATTCATAGATATTTTGGTCATTGAAAAATTCGCAAAACGTTTTCACAGTTTTCTGATGCACATGACAAATATTACTCCAGTTCACTTTGTTTCACAACTTACGAAAAGGATCATTTTTAGGGCACGTTCTTTACCAAAAGCTGGATGCCTTGCAGGAGAAAGTTGTTTTTGTTTTAAGTGGTGAATTGGCAGCGAAACATACGAGCTTCGGACCGAATAGTGCAGCAGCAGAAGATTTTGATAATCACTGTGGCCACTGGGCATCCACCCTTCATCCAAAATATCTCTTAGATTATGCGGCGAAGAACGCAGCAGAAGTATAAGCCAATTACTCAGACAAATTTGTATATTTTAGATTTCTTTCAGGCAGGCTCGTGCGGACTGTGTGGCTTGATAATGTTACATGGATTTTTAGAAGAAGGAAAGCTAAGTTCATGGATTCCAGTTCTTCACGCAAATGTCCATCCGCTTCACCGTGGTTCAATGGTCGCCTCCTTTACAAAGAGGCAATTCTGTGAAAATTGTATCTAGTCATTTCGACGTCTTGTTTCAGTGACTTTCGTTCAGAAATGTTCAGACACCCTTGTCGTTTATTTATGATTTATAGCCTGCTTTGATTAAATTTATCTTGTTCACTAACCTTTTGAATCTGCATTTCATGCATATCGTTTCCTCCCGTTGATTCACGACTTTTGAAGGGACAACAATGACGAATAAAAGCATTTCGTTCTCACAAGAGCAACTATAACATCAACGCGTAATGAGGGTTCAGATGCCGGAGCACGTAAGGGAGACTCTTAAGTTCCGACCATATTTCCACTCAGTATATGCGGAGATTGCGAAAAAAATTTGACTCTGTTAGTCAAGGTAGTTTAGCATGAATCATTGACCCATCCCATGAGCTTGAGTTGGAGTCGAAACGGGGCAGACGACGGCCAGCGTGAAATATGTGGCAACAATGCAGAAGCCATTTTCCTTTTGGACAGAATAATTCCTTCTGCGATGCCGTAGCCGATGACTTATAGCAATAGTGTTGTAAGACTGCCAACACAAAGGATATCGCAATTCAAAGACATTCTGCCAATGCAAACTGCGCGCCCCAGGTGATGACGTCAACAGGCAAAACACAGAGCACGTTCTCAACTCTGTCACTCATATGTTGTTTTGCTAAAGAAGTCTTGTAATGAGGTGCAGTGAATTCACAGAATTTGTTTTCTGTCCAACGCTGACCAGAGATCAGACGTTACCATTAGTTTCTTGCGTGCTACTCGTTATCCCTTACCGATTCAGTTTCCTACCAGTTCCAATTGAGCTTTACAGGCGATCAGTTTTACCGTCCCTTGCAGGAGCAACTGCTTGTAGAAAACATTCGCGCATGCCGTTAGTTTTCTGTGCATATGCTATGTCAAGAACAGAAATCCGTCTCTATACGGTACACAATACACTGAATCTTTGCCGTTCAGTCAAAGCTGATAATATCGCGGTTTTACTAGATTATTACTAAGCCTACCCATATGCGTAAGCCTCCGCATTGGCGTCTGCATGTTTAAGTTTACGCCAAGGCTTTGATGCAGGCTAAGGCTTGGCATGTAATGCAGTGAACACCACATATTATCACTCTGGGCTGAAAATCAAATAAGTGTTAGTCTGTACCGGTATGGACGAATTGCCATGCTAAACAGTAATACACATATGCCTCATCAGTCGCACTAGTCAGTAAGCTTGCCCTCAAGACACTAAACATCAAGTATGAAATTTAATCTATATTTTAATCCCTAATACTAGGCTGACTCTGCGTAAGAGCATCGTCTTATGGTTTTAGTCACTTAAGAAAATTGTTTATGCAGGCCACCACTTCATGGCATTTGAGCAGCAGCAATTCGTCGGGTTACAAGGCCTCATCTGTGAGACAGGCTGAGCAAGGGTGTGTTCGAGCACAGAAAAAATTTGCCACGATCCGTGGGCAAATACATGTGCAAAATATAATTCCGATGTCTGCGGTAGATAAAATAAATGGTCTTTCCTTATTACGACAAAGATTGCATTCCAATTCATAGCACGACACTTACTCAGCGGAATTGGAAGGATTATATTCTGCCACTTAATTAATTAGATCATTTCAATATGCATTGATCACTAACATTAATAAACACGAAACAGCAGAAGCGAGGAATGAAAACTTCGAGTTTTCCGTTCATCCTTTCTGGTTTTGGGGTGACTAACCGTTCGCACATCGAATGGTTGTGACTGTTTGGAAACTATATTTGCTCCTAATTGTTGCCCTCGCGCTGCCTATTTTACTGTGCGACGATTCCCTTGGGATTAAGCGCTCTGCGAAGTTTTCCTACCGAATCGAACAAAGGCGGCTTGTCCTTTTCTCCATGCAAAGGGCTGCGCAAAATATAACAGACTAAAGAAACTTATCAGCAAAAAATGCAGTCCTTATCAAAGGGTTGCCATCGCGTACTATGCAACTAAGAAGAATACAAGCTCAAGTGTGATGCTGCTCTACAGTGGGCAGATTTAGTCTCCATTGAACAGTGATTTTCTACTTTCCAATTCTGTATTAGTTTCTTCATCTTTCATCGCCGTTTCTCATTTCGGGTCGCGGAGCAGACGCGTCACATTGCAAAAACGTTCCCGATCCTGCGCAAGAGTCTGAAATTCGGCAAAAGACAAATGCAGTCTCGAACAGACTCCTTCGATATGTTTGCACCAGGTCATTCTTGGCCATCCCCTGGGCCTTTTGCCGGTCGGATTTGCAAGGAACAGTTGCTTTGCCTTCCTTTCTGGAGGCATTCGC